GATTGTTGTTTGAAAAGTCATCCTCCAGTTCACCGAAATCAGGAAATGCCTCCGAGTTTTCAAAGGATCTTTGTACTATGATGGTTTCATCAAATGTTCCATTACATAAAGTAGATACACCTAGTTTCCGAAACTTCCTCGAAAAATATACAACTCATCCCATTCCGACCGAATCCACATTAAGAAAGAACTATCTCACTTCCTGTTACGATGTTACCAACAATAAAATAAAAAACTGTGTCAGAAATAATAAAATATGGGTGTTTATCGACGAAACTACCGACGTAAGTGGTAGATTTGTAGCGAATGTTGTTGGTATACTGAAAGATGACCAGCCTCGAGATATATTCCTATTGGCATGTGAGGTGTTGGAAAAAGTGAATAATTCTTCCATTGCTGTTGTTTTCGACAATGCGATGAATTTGCTGTGGCCAAATAAGGTAGAACGAGAGAATGTGATCCTCTTTTTAACGGATGCCGCTCCATATATGGTAAAGGCAGCAAAGGGACTTCAGGTACTGTATCCCAAAATGATTCATGCAACGTGTCTCGCACATGCTCTGCATAGGGTAGCACAAGAGGTGCGAGAGAGCTACTTTGATGTAGATAAATTAATAGCAAATGGGAAGAAAATTTTTGTTAAGGCTCCACTTCGATTGCAGAAGTTTAAAGAAGAGGCTCCATCACTACACCTTTCCCCTAAGCCTATTCTAACACGATGGGGGACTTGGCTCGATGCTGCAGATTATTATTGCACACACTACAGTGTGATTGAAAATATCTTCATGAAGTTTGACAGAGATGATTCATCTTCAATTCGAACTGTACAAAATTTGTTTTCATCAACCACGTCAAGAAATCTAGCGTACATAAAATCAAATTTCAGTGTGATATCAAAATCCATCATTAGACTTGAAGCTGTGGGCATGCAACTGTGCAATGCATTACAAATTGTTAAGAAAGTTGAAAGTGAACTACATCAAGCACAGGGCGAAGTTGCTGTGAAAATTAGTGCAAAATTACAAAATGTGCTTCAACGAAATCCTGGATATTCAACACTGTGTACAATTTCTGACATTCTTTGTGGCAAAGAAGTTGAATTTGACAACAGTGAATTAGAACTTGACGCAAGTGATTTGACTTGTTTTAAGTATGCCCCTGTGACATCTTGCGACATAGAAAGGAGTTTCTCCAAATAAAAGGCCACTGTTAGTGACAATCGGAGGTCCTTCAAGTTCGAGAATTTGAAAAGCATGTTGTCATTCAATGCAACTCTACTGAAAAGGAAGATTAACGTACCGTACAAATTATTTACCTGCAACTATTAGCACATTTTACTTTACTTTTCACGCTAAAATAAACAATACTTTCATTCATGTTTTCTCTTTACAGGATCAGCACTGTGTTGTGATGGATGCTTCATGGCTTAAAGACATTTATTCAGAAAAAATAACTTTGTACACTTTTCAATAAAACGCCATTCAGCTTTTCTCTTTATAGGGTCAGCAATGTGCTGTGATTGATGCTTCAGAGCTTAAAGGTATTTATTCAGGACAAAATAACTTTGTAAACTTCTTAATAAATTGCCATTCTTAGGAATTTTTGTTAAATATTTACTTATTTTTGTGGGCCATTCTGTCATATTTTAGGTCATATTTTGCCATTTTTAGGGCATAAATGCATGCATATTTTCAAAGTTTTTAGGTCATAGAAATCCAAGCCCTAGTGATTACGAACAATTCTGCCTTCTGGAATGTAAGACCGTGTAGCCTGTTGAAAGGGAACCAATGTTTTGGAGGAACATGTCATCTCAATTTTCAGGGTCGAATAATAATAATAATAAGCTAACTGAGAAACAAGCACGAAACCAGGTGGGGATGGAGGTAACATGTGCCCCCAAAATGTGATTGACTTTGAATGGCACTATATCTCTGAAGACAAAACTCTGTGCCTCAGTCTACTTAGCCATGGCCCCCCCCAAACTAATTTCAATCAGCATTTAAATCTTGGCAACCAGGTAGGTGTTTTTCTGTTTTGACTCTTGTCTTACCTGCTGGTACCCGCTACTAACTTGACTGCAATCCAGCTCTTTTAGCAGAGGTGTTGAATGTGGGAAACTCTGCTCCAGCTTGCCACTGTCCCCTGGAATGATACAAGAGATTCAATACTGGTCCCCCTAAAATATGAAGCATTAACACTTGTTCTGTTGACATGTGTGTTACAGTCATCAGAGTATGTAATGGTTACAGACAGAGGCAGAAGATGGCAACAACAGGAAGGCATGCTCCAGTCAGTGTTGCAGTGTCCACTTATACTGAAAAAAATTCCTCTAGATAGCAGCAGATTTTAGCATCTTAGTAGAAATGTAGATATTTTTTCTAGAACTTTTCAGATTACTGAGGTTATGAATTTCTGATGAACCTTGTTTAAAAGAAAAAAGAAGAATTTGGTTGAAATTTCTACAGACTTCATGTTGGACTGACTGATAATATTGATTCATTTGACTGTTTCACAATATTGTATAGATTACAAAGGTAATGGTAATACCATGACTGCTGATGGTCACATTTCTAAGCAAGTTCAACCAATTTACATCCTCAAAACCTGTTTCTGTGAGATCCATTTTAATAACATCATCTCAGCCTTTCCAGAACACTTCAGGATCTAACTTCTCCATTATATCTTTATTCAATTTTTAGTTCTTGTAACAATTCTTTCAATTGCTAAGATTACTGGTGTCAAAGGACTGGATGATTAATAAGTAATGAACTAGCAAGGATGTGGAAGGAAGCAGTCATGGCCAAATCTAAGGAATTATCCTGGCATTTCCTGGCAGGACTAAGGGAACCCACAAAACACATACATCAAGATACCATGTCTCTGGGTCAAAATTTTAAGCCAGGACATCTATTTCTTATCTTCCCAAGCCGAGTTGATGATGATTATGCTATGAAGTGTCCCACCTGATTTTCTTTTAAACTTTCTGGGTGGATGCTTCCATGGTGTGATGTGTAGTGGAGAGAACTTGCTGCCAGTGCCGCAGCTTGCAAGGGACGTGGGACTCTTGCTGACATCTCTTGCGTCTTCACCTTCCAGACTGCCGTCATTATCAACGTCAGAATTGAGGATACTTGGTAAGGAACATGCTTTCATTCTGTTCGTGGTGTCATCCAGCGAACTGGAAGGCATGAGGTGAAGGTAATGCGGCCGGTGTTTTGAATTAGAAGAGAAAACGTGCGGTCGTGATTGGGGAGGGGAGGATGGAGTTGCCACTACAATGGGAAGGGGACTGTGGGGTGGATTGTCGTTTTGGTGAACAAAGTTCTCGCACGAGGAACCTGACTTGCGTCCCTGAATGAAGTATGTTTTGAGTCCTGTGAGACAGAAACAAGGAGATTTACTATTGCTCAACAGCTCACAACATTCTGTTACACACTCCTGACTGATATACTCCTAGTTGATTTAACAGTGCTGTTTAACTGCATAGTTAATATTACATAAAATGAAACTGGAAAATAATCACATAAGATGAGTGGGTACAGATTTGGAAGGAGGCAGTCCCGACATATTGTAAGCCATCCATCATCATCATCATCATCATCATCATCATCATCACCCTTTTTGAGCCATACCCTTCCTTAGAAGATTCTGCCAGATTTGTCTATTAAATTAGGCCATCTGGTTTTCCCTTCTTCGGCTTTCACAACAGTATTTTTTGTTTTTACAGAGCAAGGTCATCAATCAGCCTTGTGTCCAACCCTGAATGTGGAGAACCAGGTGCCTGTATTTAGGTCCCTCAGTGACATGGTGGCCTAGTTAGACCCCCAGACACCAGGTTCCCTTTTTTGTAGCCTTCTATGACTTGCAGGACTATGGCAGAGGTACTGTAACCCACCTCCACATTGGGTATTTTAAGCTATTATTCTACTATTTGCATGGACAGACTGATGCAAATCAAGAAAACCCTTTCAGGATAGGTAATAATGTGGTCCAGATTTGAACCACAGACATCCTACATACAAGTCTTGAGCACCAGAACAATGCCCGCCTGCATGTTTACTAAGTCTTCACTTCCCTGCCTGATGTCATTAAGCATGCTTCTGTTTTGCCCAGGAACATTTGCCATTGGTCATAGTGGTGAATTCCAGTCTAGAAGTCAGCAAATGCATGACTGGCAGTAGTAGGTGCCATATCCTTCTCCCATTTCAACAGCAGCATATTGCGTGGAAGCAGAGTTTTGTGCCTGTATTTGGGCAGTGAATCTACCTGCCTTCTTAGCCTGATGTGTACAGAGCTAAGAAATGCAGCAGTGTATAAGCCATTTGGAGCTGATTACAAGCAAAACATTAAAGCTTTTACTGAATGGGGAATATTCCTGCACTTTTAGTGTTCTGATGGCTAATGGCTACATAGATCAGAACACTTACCACTGATTGGTCACTGCTACCCTGGGATTGGTGCCATGAATATTGAAACATATTTCTTTTGAGAATTTCTGAATGCAGAGTTTGACATCTTCCGCCCCCCATACAACCATTACGTGCGCATGCACACACACAATCAATGGTTCATTTGTTACAGGATTTGAACCTGAGGGGTTTCCACCCCACAGCAACATAACAACTGAAGCTTAAAAGGTAATATTTTGGGTACCAATCTGATCCCTACCTTGCACCACCTGTCCCTCTTCAAGCAAGTATGTGTCACCAAGAAATTTGTGTGTAGCTTCTGAAACATGAACGCGTCCTGGCTTGCCTGTTGATTCCATCTGATTGGCCAGTGTGACGTCATTGGACCAGACGTCAAACTTGAACCTCTTTGTACCCACAATGCCACAGAGTACAGTACCCGTATGTACACCCACTCTCATGTTCACGCCTGCAGAAGAGACACCAAGTATTAACCCAGTCACTTAATACAATGCATGGCACAAGAAAAATAAGTTGAAACTACAATGTATGACTTCAGCTTTCAGGAATATGCTACACAGAATGTTTTCTGGCATTTAATTTAACAATACAGTTTCCGTCTTCATGGAGAATGTCTTTGGGGAAGTTCTGGAAGCCCATACATGATGCCTGCAGTGGGCTGTGATTGGAAAAGAAACAAAGGGACAGAGCAACATCCAATAGAGAACCACGTGATTAATGAAAAGTAGTGGTGAAAAATGTATTGGTGACCAGATGGTCCTGTAAAGATGTGGCAAAAGTTGTTCCAGTGACAAAGAAGAATCCTGAAGATGCCAACTGCAATATCTGCTGAAACGTTTAAAACCTTCGACATTGTACACACAGTATTCCTGAAAGCCAAAATAAAAAATCATACATTAAACTCCAGTCATGGAAGCTAAGGATAAGAAACCCATAAACTGTGCAGAACATGCCAAAGTATGTATGAAAAGACTTGGTCAGTTTGGAAATCTTCAACCTATCAGGTGACAGGAATGGAAGTGAATATATCAATAAAATACAAATATAAGCAGTTTCAGACTGCACCATGTGATATCTCTATTGTGATCAACTTAGAATAATCTGTAATCAAACATCAAAAGTGATGTATTTGGAACAAAACCTTGCTCTTGTTTCATGCTGTAGATACACTGATCTGTATTAAAAATGGTTGTCATCCTTACCTTCATTCCTCTCTTCATCAAACTGCTTTATGGCACCAATCATCCCAAGCCCCATCTCCACACAGGCCATGGCATGGTCTGGTTTTGGTTCAGGGCAACCGGCAACACAATAGTAGCAGTCACCAAGGGTTGAGATTTTCTCACAGCCATGTGTTGCACATAAGTCATCAAATCGTTCAAATAAGTCATTCAAAATGTCCACCAATTCCTCGGCAGTCTTATTTGAACTCATTCTTGTGAAGCCAACAATGTCTGCAAATAAAATGCTCACATTTTCCATGCGAAGCATATTGAATGGTCTAAAAATCGATCGTATATCACTTCCTCCTGGGTTTGAACCTCGTGAAGAGTATCTCAATGTATCGTCACCTCGTTCTCTTCCTCCATCATCTTCCCTTCCACCTCCCGTTTCTGACATCAGCCAATCAGCAACTTTAGGCGGCATCACAGAGTGTATCATTTTCTCTTTAAGCTGCTTTTCCATCTCTAACTGTCGTCTGACGAGCAAAGATTGTCCAACTTTCATAAACGTTCCACGCATACGAACATGAGTCATTATTAGAATGTGAATGCCTATGAAATGAACACACAAGTGAAGTAAGGCGCGCACAGCAATACCGGCATTTCCCATGTTCCCGTAAGTTTCTCCGGCACTCAAGTAATGAGTCAAGAATTCAAACAATACAGAATAAGCTCCTCCGATAGCTACACACATATAAAGAGGCAAAGGAATCACAGTGTAAATAGCAAGCAGTATTTCTATACAAAGGGAAAATTGTCCAACAGGGGTAATATCTGGGGACTTTTCCACAGATGGATCAAAAACTACAAAAATTAATGACAGTCCACTAATAAGCGTAGCAACGAATACTGAAATTGGAAATGTATACTGCCTATATGTGTCTGTGTGTGTCAGAATGAGAACTGATCCGATTATAAAGAACAGAATGGTGAATGTTATGATGACAGGAATCCAATGTTGAGTATTTCCTTTGAGGCCAGTTATGAGGAAGTATATGAACCATGACACAGACACAACAAGGATGTAGAGAAGGGCGTACCTGAAAAAGAAACAAACATCTCTCTGTTGGATTTAAGGTCCTCACAGCGATGACCATAAAGTGTACCATCTTCTGGAATGTGACTCTGTGTAGTTCGGTAGTTCACCAAAGTTTCAGAGGAACATACTGCCTCCATCTTCAGTGTCAAAGAGTAAGTGAAGTAAGCAATGAGCAAAATGCAAACAGGAAGCTTAACTCTCTCTTTCTTCCATGAAGAAGGAGGCACTGTATTCCTTTGACACATCAATAAACTACTGGACTACATGGCATCACATTCCAGAAGACAATACTCTTCACACATCTCTCTGTTTCAGCAGATTACAGCGGAACAACTTTACAGACACCCCTCGGTTACCAAAGACTCGGCTTAAGCAAATTCTTCAATGCCCACAATAAAACAAAATGAAATGCAAGTGATATTTTGTTGTTCTAAATGTTAGTCTTCTATGCTTACAATGATATTTTTTTTTCCATGCTTTCATCATTTTTGTGTTTATGTATTTTCTACAAATATTTTCACAAGTACACTCTATTAAGTGGCTAGTAGATTTGTCATTTTTGGAGTCCTGAAGATGCATTTAAGAATGCACCACCGTGAAACATGAATGAATAAAATCCCATGCATTTATGTAATTTATTCAGACTACAGACTTTGGCTTAGGATTCTAGTTGTGCGGAGTAGATCAGAACTTAAAATTATGTGCATGCTGCTACCTGCTTGATGCCATTCTGAAGAAAGAAACTTAATACGTACAGTATAATCTAGTTTACGTAATGTTAAGACTGAGCTGGCTTAAGCAATTACACTTCTGACTTGCATTTATGAGGTGCCCATTTCAGCTGGGACACCGACTATCCAAACTGAGGTTTTCTGTGGCTTTCCTCGGTCGCTCCAGGCAAATTCCAGCATAATACCTTAAATGAGACCATGACTGCTTCCGTCTGTATCCCTTCCAATTCATTATTCACTATCATCAAACCATGATGCTATACAGCCTGGGTTCCTGACACTGTCATGAAATAAACTACAATCTACAAAATATTTACTATGGCAAAACAAGACACATACTGGAACCGAAGTCGCACTTGAGGAAATGAGCTTCTTCGATATTGGCCTTCAAGTATCTCAGAGTCAAAACGAGGGTCCCACCAGGAACGGCTAGCTGCCCGTTCAAACGGTATAGGTAGGTAGATGCCACAACAACCCGACCGCTGACCACTCTGAGCCAAATAGTTTTGAATGTATGGAGCAAGTGATATCTGAATGTCATCATCTTCGCCACTTGCCTGTTGACTTGGTCCTCGAGAACGTGAGAAACTTACTGATGAATTGCACCGATGTTCTTTTTTGGTATGAGGTGTAGATTCTGCCATCTTCCAATCAACACAATATATACAAAATCTTTATTTATCAATAACATTGATATCACTTTACTACCTACTCCTTTTATCAAAAGTACATCCATTCAATATCCACATTTCACTTGGTGTTATCAGGCCAACCTTCACTTTTAGGTTAATTTTTCCAAAGGACACAATGTAATAGTGTAAAAAAACAGTCATGCAGAGCTCTCCAGTTCTGATTCATGTAGATCATTATCAAACAATACAATATAAACTTCAAAAAAATACATACAAAATCTCAAGACGGCTAAAAGTGCAAGTAAATACTTCGTTGTGTGTTACTACACGCATTCTGTAATTTAGAAAACTGCATAATAACATAAAGAATTGCTTCCTTCATGTCATATGGGGAAGGCCAATAACTATTTTGTCATTCTTCTTGCAGTATTTCGCGAACCACTCAACACAGAAATTGTACTGCCTCACAGAGATATCGTATATCTTACTTGAATTACGTTTGTCTGCTCAATAAAAAAATCTTCATTGCATACATGATGAGTCTTCCTCGTTGACACAGCAACTATAAAACTGAAAGGAAAGGAACATATTTCATAAATTAGATCAACGAACAGAAGAAACCGAATGGACTGAAAATGAAATTTTGACACAAACGAAAATTTAATGAAAATTGCACTGATTTAAAATGCCCAATTAATGCATTCAACCAAAAATATCGGTGCTATAATTAACTTTTCGTGGATTGGTTCATTTTTGGATCAACTGATTAGGGCGACATGCATAAATGTATTAAAATTAATCTTAATAATTCCTCATACAATAAATCAATTTACATCACATGATTAATGATACTGACATTTAAAATTTGTAATGACAGGTGTGTAGCCAATGGTCATTTGGATGGGCGGGGTGGGGTAAGGTCTGTAATGTTTCGGCCAATGATTGGCAGCAAATATCCAAACGTCCATTGAAGTGGTGACATTTCAACAAATAAGAACTAGGGCGGGAATGTTATTATTTAACAAAAAGTGTGATTAACTAAATGTTTTACTAACCTTTCAAGTATGATGAACATTTTCTGCTATGAAAAATTACGTAAAAAGTGGAGAAGGCTGTTTCTCTTCGAGCATTCCCACAAGTAGCCAACATAGATCCCATATTGAGGTTTCACATCGAAGAGAACTATAGAAATCAACTAAACATAAAAATTAACTATGCCCTGAATTATGTTCATAAATTTGGGAAACATCGTGCGGTGATTGTAAAATTCATCATCAAAGACAAATTATTAGGATTGATTTTTAATTTAAAGTAGAAGAGAATTCCACTACCATAGTGTCAGCCATTTATGCATAATACGCCTATGACAATTTTCCACAGGTTCTGCAGGTTTGCCAATTACAGAATGCAGGGGTAACAACAATAAAATTGTCTGCGAAATTTAAACGTGTAAGCGCACCTTTACGGTAAGAAATGTATATACTTAAGCAGAAAAGTTTGTAGCTGTGTGTATGTACAAAGTAGGCATAATTTGATTCTCCCCAGTGCCAGGCACTGAAATGCAGTTTTATGTTTCCAGGACTAAAATACAAAGACCTTTTCCTAAAGAGTTGGTGTGTAGTCCTCTTGAATTTTCACGTATATTACGTAAAATACAAGTTTGTTCCAAATTAATACATGCTACTAGCATTAATGCAAGGAGAAAGCAAGTCATGACATAACACATTTTCTACCAGATGCTTTAATTTATGTGTTGAGGTTAGGAACATTGATCCAAAAAATAAGGCAGTAGTTCGACGTGGTCCACCAGCATTTTCTAATAATAACAAGAGGTATCGCCAGTAGCGCTGAACAGGTTACACAACACGTGCACAAGAACTCGAGTGATTAGGCACCATTATATAAATCATTCTGATTTGTAGCTTTCAAATTGCGGAAGATAGTTGTAACAAATAGTTCATTCTAGTAAGAAATTTATATATTTTATACAGAGAAAGCAAAATATACGATTATATACCGAGATCAGAATGGGGGGGGGGGAATTAAAATATGAATACAGCAAACAATAACTCCTTCGAAAATGCAGCAAACTTTAAATATTTTTGAACGACAGCAACAAAATTGCACTCACAAAGAAATTGAGTGCCAATAAAATTCCGGGAATGCTTTCTACCATTAAGTTAAAAGTCTTGTTTACCCATCTGCTGTAAAAATGTGGGTAAACACAGCTAATGCTTGAAAACAACACGTTGAGTTAAAGAAGAAACGTTGGCATAATTAAATAATGAAAGACATCCACGTATTCTGTAAATTATTTTTTTTTGCATGGAAGAACTTAACATATTTGGAGTTATTTATCCATAATCAACTAATTTATGGAGCAGAATTCTTGAAAAACCCCCAATTGGTTAGCTCCTCAAGAATTTCTGAAAATTCAATGGAACCCAAAGGTTCAATTCCATGTTCACAAGAGTCTTCCACTGGTCCCTTTCCTGAGCCAGATGAATCTTGTCTGTACCACCCCATCCTATTTCTCTAAGATCCTGTTTAACCTTTAATATTATCCTTCCACCTATGTGTAGGTCTTCCTGGTTGTCTCTTCTGTCTTTCCCATCAAAATGGTACATGCATTCCCCTTCTTCATTCGTGCTAAATGCCCTGTTCATCTCATCTTCCTTGATTTGATCATTCTAATTGTACTTGATGAAGAGTATACAAGTCATGAAGCTCCTCATTATGTAGTTTTCTCCAACATCCTGTTATTTCATTCCTCTTCAGGCAAAACGTTTTGCTATTATTATGAAAGTAAAAATGGAAAAATTACACATTGAGGCACTTCACAGTCAGTGGCACAGTCACACTATCACCTCGAAATTTATTGCAACAGGAAACATTTAAAATGCCGTTATAAATTGGATATTTCTACATAAACGAATGAATAAAATACATGTATACAGTAGTACATTTACAGTGCTATATATATATACATATATACACACACACACATGTATGTGTGTTCTAATATCTCTTTGGTTCATAATTAAAAGGAAAACCAAGGATAGCTTGAATATTGCTCTTTTTAAGTATGATACAACCCTTTTCAATATAAAGCACTGATTTGGGAAATTAAAACATTTACTATGAAGCAAGATGATATTAACGGGGAAATATGTAGGTCAGTTCAGTTGAAGATAAATTTATTGTGCATTGTATTGTTGACTGTGGTTACCCTTGAGCACACTGAGCAAGGAGCATACATAATTTCAGGTGTTGTTATGTAACTGCAAATAATTATTGTGTAATTTACTTCAAGGATGCTGATTTATTTGAAGTAACATTGACACATATTCACCTAACTACTCTAATATATGTGTATAAAAATGTAGCTTGTCTATTTCCTGTTTCCTACTTCATATCTAATAGAGAACACCCAACAATATTATGAAATTTACTCTGTATTCTTGCAAATATGTACGGCATCCACACCTACTCAGTGATCAGCACATATGGCAGTAGAATACTTGGATGCAATTCAGATCCTCATTTGTAGTCCTCTTTGTAATAATGATTATACTTTAATATCTTATATTTGAGTTTTATTCCCTGTTTCAAGTTTTAGCTGTTATATATTATGCCATTGACAAGAAAGGCAGTTATATCTTGGGTGGAGGAAGCTGTGATGAACTGCATATGTGGGAGAGAAGTAGAATGCATATAGAATTTTGGTGAGGAAACCTCTTGGAAAACTGAGGAGGATATATGGGAATGATGTTAAGATGCATCTTAGGGAAGCATATTGTTAGGCTGGGAGGTGATCCGGGAGTAGTTCAGGGTATTGTGCAGTGTGGGTTTCGGTGTTAATGGTGTTTCAGGCTTTGATATTAATGGTGTTAAGCTTCCAGGCTTTGACATTACTGTTGAACTTTCAAAATCTACTACCACAGATTTTAGTTAGTGTTACTGTTAATAAACTGACATATAATAAATTTGGTCTAATTGGCATTTTCCTATTTATTTGTACATTGTGTGCTGTTTGTTAAACTGTTCTAGGTGTCATGTTTGCTAAGAATTTGAATGTATTGTAACTTAAATACACGCATCCTCCATCTTGTATGATTTCAACTTACATTTTGCATTAACATAATTTCATACAAACTTCGTTAAGTTTATTTGGAGAATGGCCCGTTGAAGCCAATGGTAAACTTAAAATAAGAAGACAGGGAACATGTCTGATTCTAGAAAAAGTGATTCACTGTTAGAAGGAATAGTATGGTTCACAGGTTTGTTATAATAAAGGGCTATGTGATTCATGCATGTTTGGCTATAACATCATTGCTGTAAGAAGAATCTTCTAGGCATTGCATCACAAATTAAGGAAATACCAGGAAATAACAGATCTGAAGTTGATTCCTTATGTAGTGTTAGTAAAGCAATTCTATTGGCAGGACATAATGATGTTGACTGTGTTGGTGAAGAGATTCTTAACCATCTTGGTGAGAATATTAAAGTAAGTGTGGACCTCCTAATATTACATAAGCTTCCTACAAAGATACATTTCACAGTGGAGTTTGAAGCCATATATAATATATTCCTGCTGTATTTTCTAGTAGGTTCTGCTATCGAGGTGACTGGTGACATGAGGCATATATATACACCAGAAGCAATTGTATTAATTTGTTGTTTAGTATGCTTGAAACTAGCAGGAGGCATATCCAAACAGAGTTTAAATCAACGGTAAACTGAAAATATTAATAGAGGAATGTTGTTTTTTATATGCTGTCTGACTCCAGAAAACGCCATTCATTATTGGAAACAAAAGACTCCTTACTCATTCATGATCTACTGCATAACTTACATTCATGCAGCATGTTAACATTTGATAATTCATTGCTATGGTAACCTGAAATGTCATAGTTACTGACTCATTGTTTTTTATACATAGAGAGATTTCTATAGTCAGGACTAAAGAGTAATAAAATTATATAATGTTATATTTTAGCGTCCTGTTGCACTGATTTAAGTCCATGATTTATTTCAACCGTCTTCCAGTGCATACACTCATCTATCTCCTCCTCTCACTCGCACTACATGTTTCGGCACAAAAGTGCCATCTTCAGGTGCTTATTCGATTTACGCTAAACTAGTTCATTGCATGCCTTGTCGTCTTCATATTAAAATAACTAAAATATATATTTATCATATATATTGATAAATGTTAAATGTTAAAAATATTAAAATTGTTCAGGATTTTTTCATCCCTACGTTGTATCTCACTACGCGAGTCACACCTATCCTCTTCTGTTGGAGCACTCTTTCACTATCATGTGTGTATTGTGCTCTGTGTTGTGTCTTGCTCCTGTGACTGCGTGTGTTATACTGCTGGGCCTGCTGGGTATGTGTGTGTGTGCTGTCTTCGTTTTGAGCGAGTTATCTATGAATTATATGTCTAAAACAAACAGAACATTTAGGATTCATAAATGGCTACAGTGAATGGTATTAAAGTTAACTGAAGAGGTTTCAATTTGAAAGCAAATTTCGTACTTGATAGAGATTTTATTTTCTGATAGTGGTGAGTCTTTTGGGATGTCTGGTAGGTGGTTACCAGTGTTTCAGAGGAACCTGAAGATGGGAAGATCTTCAGAAATGCTGGTATCCATCTATCAAACTATACTGTGTCTAAAAAATCTTTGAAGGTGCATTAACAATAGATAGCAGTGTAGATCATTATGTCACTAGAAAGTTACCAGATTTAATTTTTAACATATATTTGGAACCAAGATTGCTATACCAGAAATCTCATTGAACATGTGTGAACTTTGTTCCATAAGGATGCCTATTCAAAGTGTGACATACCCTCAAAGATACGTGTATTTTGGATGTACAACACAGTTTTATTTGCAGTTTAATGACTGAAGGGTGTAATGGGAGGGTCTCTCCAACCAAATTCTTCCTGATATGTGTAATAAGCCACCCAGTAGAATAGATTCAGCAGACCAAATGAAGCAGGGAACAGGATTCGTGCTGCCTTGTCTATGTAGGACACACTGTTCACATGTCTGGAAATGAGTCCTCCATCCCCAGTACCTCTTGATCCTGTCACAGCTGCAGCATGGGCGGCCTCGCGCTGTCGTTGGCGGCGATAAGCATCATCTCCTGCTAGACAATATAGCAGCTGTTGCCACTTGGGCACACGATGTTCAGTCTGGGTGTGGCGTGTCACGCACGTGATGTGGTGGTGTGCGGCTTGCTGCTGCTGGCATGATGTTGAGATTCCATAGTTCAATGGATCCTGTTGTATACACAGTTTGTTCAACTTTCAACACTTCAAGCCTGAAATAACTGTATTTCCTGTCTGAACTATCATGCTTATTGTCTGTGAGCACAGATATTTATACAGAGTAGGCAACTAGATATGTATATGGCTGAATAAATATTATTTATTTTTCTTTGGAGTGGGATGAGTCTTGAGTTCCTTTGTATTGTCACCACAAATGGGTCATACTCTGTGAGAGTACAGAACATGGGTGGAATGAAGATTAGCAGAGGAAAATCTAAGTACTGTTCTAGTGCCACTTCGTCCATGGCAAATCTCACATGAGCTATCCTGGGATTGAACCTGGGCCTCCAGCTTGAGGAGCCATCAAAACACTGCCTCAGCTAATGGCATGCCCATTTAGCTGGAGGAATATGTACCTATATATGTGTCTATGTGTGAGAGAGAGAAGAACAGATCTGTCACTGTGATAATGGTCCATGGGCTGGATGACTTGCTTTTTCATTCATGCAGAGGCAGGCCGCCATGTTCAGACTGGCTCTGGTGTGAGCACAGCCTCCTAGCCCATTGATAGAGGGGCCTCATTTTCTGGGAGCACACTGGCTGGATAATGAACGCAACCACCCACATTATTATTATTATTATTATTATTATTATTATTATTATTATTGGAGGGGGTGGGTTTCCCCATGCACAGCGACTAATAGTCTATTGTACGTCCCCCTTTGATATTCTACCAGTCGCCATACCCTGCCGGTACTGGTGCTCGCTATCAGCTCTGTTCAGCCAGCAAGGCTGGCAGCGGTACCCGATATTTCCCCATCTACTGGAGACATTGGAAACTACTCGTACTTGGGCGGGAAACTTTTTACCTAATTTTGCTCAGAGGTCTCCTAGAGACATGAGGATCTTTTACGTGCCGTAAATCTACGACACGGGACCCACGGCTTAAAGTCGCTCCCGGAGGACTTGTTCCCTGAAATTTCCGCCCTTAAAAATTCCACGACCTCCACCGGGTTTGAACCCACGTACCTTGAGTCATGAGGTGGGAACGAACCACCCACATACATCTAAAGCCAAGTTTAATTTTACCAATTGTAAATATATATAACTAGATTAAAATAAGTACTAGATAAGCAGCAGCGCATGAATCGCTGGTTGAGAAATACTACTACCATATATGAACAGGTCTCACTGATGTTACTATATTAATAAGAACTGCCTACATTGTAAATGGGACAGATGAGTGAGCTTCTCCTGTGTCCTGATCGTAGCGATGGGCTTCTGCTGGTGTCTGGTATGTCAGTCGTTATGCAGCCCAGTAACTCCTCTGCCGCATCCTCCGCATCCTCCCATTCCTCTTCATCAACAGGAATCTCCCCACTGCCAACCTATTGAAGTAAAGTTTTGAACACAGCTCTTCAGTCTCTGAACCAAATGAATCCCATCCACAACTTCACACTGTAGTTCTTTAAAATATTATCAACTGTTCTATGCCTAGGGTGTCCAGTGGTCTCTTCCTTTCAGATAAAGGTAAAGTTACGCCTGTACTTAATTAATTAAGTACTATGTCATGAAGGCATATGGTGGAGTGGTGGTATAGCTCCATCATTCTTGACCTCTGCACTAGATGGAGGTGAGTGGTCATCTTCACACCCCTTTCACTTTATCCCCAGGAAAAGAGCCCCTAGTACCCATTGAATAAGGGGCTGGGTAGGCCTCAGAGCTGGTCTAGATGCTGCGGAGAAGAGAAAAAATATTGCACTGCCGGGAATCGAACCCAGGCCATCCAGTCCATTGTTATACTGACTGAGCTATCTTGACTCCCTCTTCCCTTCAGACTTTTATGAATAAAACATTGTATGCATTTCTCATCACTTCAATTCATGCTGTATGCTAAGACCATCACACCTAAGATTTAATCACTTCAATAATATTAAGTGAAGAATACAAATTATGAAGTTCCCCACTATGTAGTTTTCTCCATTTTCTTGTTACTTCCTCCCAAGTATGTCTAAATATTTTTTCTCAAACATCCTTGGTACGTATTCTTCCCTTAGGGTGAGAGACCAAGTTTTGCACCTGTACAGAACAGACATATAGGGACTTGCCTTTGTGAAATAATGAACACCTGCAAACTCAAGAAGAGTGGCAATGCAGTAGAAGAAGCTCATTAGCAGGAACCAGTCCAGGGCTGTGGCATAGCGAACTTTAGGCAGATCTATCCTACTATCTAGGCTGATTGTTGACAGTGTCAGTACAGTTGTAATACCTACAGACAAAAATAAGGAAACACTAAATTTCCTTTTTTCATGTTGGGACACTTGTGTGAAGAATGTTGCCATCTGTTGCAACATAACAGAGGCTCGCAGCTTCACAAAGTGTAATACTATGTTCAGATTAATTTATTAATATATTATTTTGCTCAGAAACAGATGAAGAAACGCATGATATGGGGGAAACAGGTCATTGCGAGGCAATGGAAAGAAGTTCCTAGGATTAACTCCTTCCACATCTCCTCAAGCTGTTATGCTTCCCCCTCTCTTACACTTTCATATTTTGCCCTTTAGTCATCTAGCCATTCTGCTCACATTAATGTCTGTCACAGATTGTTTAGAAATCCACGTGACTAACCAAGCAACCAGCTTTCTGGACAAAATAACAAACAAGAAACAAACAAATAACAAACAAACAAACAAACAAACAAACAATTGTACAAACCAACTAAACTGACCAACCAGACAGCTGGCTGGCCAAAGGAACAAATGAATTACCTGCAAACTAGCAGAACCAAGCAACTGACTGACCAATTTGTTGACCAAAAAACTAAATAAGAAAGCATCTTACAATTCCATTTCACATGAATAGTTTTGATACTGTCAAATGTAACTTGTGATTTAGTTGCATTTGATAGTATTATAGTTATTTATATGACAACAAAATAATTAACTGATGGGCCCTCTCATAATATTAACTGAAGATTCAATGATGCCAGTAATGGTAATTCAATCCATTTCATATCTTCACAACTTCTTTCTGTCGAGCTCTATCTCAATATTATCCCCATATTTCTTTCCTGTTTGTCCTGACAGTCTACACCAAATTCTGTTTCCTCTCACTCAAGTCACATTCACAATCCGGTATGACCAGGAACTGCACAGTGTGTGCATTTACCAAGGCCAACTCTGTCGCTTGTAGCCTCTCGATGTATCCAGAAGGACACCCATGACAGCACCACTATGAGGATGCAAGGCACGTACACTTGGATAAGGAAGTAGCCAGTGTGTCGCTGGAGATTGAAGTTCACTTGCAGAACAGAGAACTCACCTACACAGACACAGAAATGCATCTGCTGTGTTATATGGATGGGTGTGGAACTTGATTTCTCATTCTAATAGAACACAGAGAAGAGTGCTACCTTGTGAAGTGTAATGCCATGTAGTTTTGTATAAGTACTGCCTCCATCTTTAAAGCAGAGTTCTGCTTGAATGACCTACTCTTTGACCATGAAAATTTAAGTGATAATCCTTGTGAACTACACAGCGTTACAGTCCAGAACATCCTACCGTTCATAATCACCGCTGTGGGGAAGTAACAGGAGGATGGGGAAAATACATAAAGCAGAGCGTTCATAGTTTAGGGTCTTAAAATCAAGAAGGGTGAGTTGGGCAAGATATGGAGCATACACATGGAAGGGATGAGAAATGCACACAAAATTTTAGTCAGAAAATGTAACATGAGGAGAAAATATTTGGGAGACTGACGTAGATGAAAGGATAATACTGCAATTGATATTAAAGAAACATGTATGAGGATGTGGGCTGGATTCATCTGTCTCAGGACATAGTCTAGAAATGTGTTCTTGTGAACACAGCAGTGAACTTTCAGGTTGCATAAAATTTTGGGACTTGGTTAACCGTTTTGGAGACTATAAGCTTCTTAAGAACTAGGATATATGGAGTTACCTGAAATATAGACTGCATGCCAATTTACTTCTGGAATGCATGGTAAAAAATATGGAAAAAAGGATACCAAAAAGGCCAGGACAAAATTTGAGGGCCAAAGCCATGTGTCTCTCCCTGTATTTTTGCAAAAAGAAATAAAAAGTGAGAAAAATGAGATAGTATACCAAATAAAAAAAAAAATAAAATTACAATATAGTGATCAACAGCTGCACGGCAATCTGAACGGTTTAAACACAAGTTTGTTAGCAACTTTTCTAGCTGCCCCCTTCCCCCTTTGGAAAAATCCTGATTGGTGCCCATAGATGGAGACCTATGAGGGGGTAAAAAAGAAGGTGGTTCATCCAGGCAGGGAGCGGAGATTTGACAAGAAATTGGAAAGGGGATGTCTGTGGGAAGAAAGAAATGAACAGAGACGTTCAACTGTATGAAACGTAAATGTTGCTAGAATTTGTCCACTGCTCTGATATCCGAACAAGAATCTTACCATCTCTCCTTCTGAAGGTCAGATTCCTTTGAAGAAAGCTTATGAGATCGAACTGTGACAGGGCCATTCCCTTTACGAAATCCACACTGCTTCCAGACTGCCACTGGTACACCAGATGCTGCGTAGTGTATGCATCTGAAAGACGTAGCCAATATTTACATTCGTCTGGAAGCGCTGAAACTTAACGGTTACTAATTAAGCCAAAATGAGACGAGGCAGCTAAGTGAATGTAGTGACTGACTATGTACCGAGCAGCTCGACCTATCGGTAACCCTCTAGACTTGCATGACTGCCTCTGTGGTCTAGTGGTCAGAGTTCCTGGCTACAGATCGCGAGGTGCAGGGTTCGATTCCTGGCGCTACCAGATTTTCTGAGAAGTAGTGGATCTGGAACGGGGTCCACTCAGCCTTATGAGGATAATTGGGGAGGTATTTCAAGTAAATAGAGGGTACGGTCTAGAAAACCGAGATTAACGGCCGTGGGGATCATTTGCGCGACATCCTCTATCCTCTAAAGTTGATAATAACTTCGCCGTTCGGTATAGTTCGCTTGCGGACTACAGGTCTCGGAATCTAGACTTGCATTCGGGAACTAACTGCTTCGAAACTCGTCCGGGAAATCGGTTATCCTGACATTTCTCTGTTTTTTCTCAGTCCCTCCACGGAGATGCAGGTATAGTGCTCTCATTATACCATGACTTGCTTCCTTCTAAATCCATTCCAATTCATCGTTCGTCAGTCATCCTACTATTCAACGTTGTACAGTCCAGATACTGACGGTGTCGTGAAATAAACCACAGATAGACAGACAGACAAGACTGGCTGAAGGCTGGACAACCGGGCGTCAGTTTCTGACGGAAATAGGGATTTTAATTTTCGCTACAGCGTCCAGATCAGCTTTGAAACCCATCGTGTATCCTATGAAATGAGTGCTGAAGGAGATTTCGCCAGGGATAAAGCGGCCGGGGAATGAATCTGACTAGTCATCTCCAGCTAGTGCCATGGTTAATATCTGAGGCTACACTTTCACTGTCACACCCGTCTTCATGGGTGTCATGTTTAATTATGCACACGGGATTTACTTTGATGGCGGCAGTGTCTATGAGAAAAGCAGGAAATAACGCCTGTCAATTTCGCTACAACTGTCTGTCCGTCTGTACGTAAACAACTCAAGAACAGCTGACGGGGATTCTCATGGAACTTAATATCGATGAGTTTTATTAAAAACTGTCAGACATGTTTAAATTTTGATTAAAATCAGACAAAAATAACGGACTTTTACGTGAACCCATTTGTATTCGTGCGAGTGCCTCTCGATCTTAAATCGTTAAATATTTATCGCCGCAAAAATGTCTGGAACAAACATTTTAAGGGGAAAACGAAACACGCGCTTATGTACACTGCACTTCTTCTGCAAGTCTTCGGGTATTCCAAACAAATAAAGGAAGGAATATTTTTTATTTTCTGTAATATGATAAATGGAGTATTTTGGGGACTTATTTAGATCAAATTTTTATTGCAGGCCCTTGTATGAATTGTCGAACCATCTCCAATTCCACACAGATTAGCATAAGGGTAGACCTTACATAACCGCCACAATGTTTATGCCATGCTACACTATTTAATCTCTAAATTATGACCTAGGATGTAGATTGTGTACATACAGCTGCCAAGAATCAGCGGGCACGACTGTCTGTCCATTGGAAAGTTTCTCAATTCCATCGGGCATTTCGCCTTTATTGTCAATCTGAAACAAGAGCAAAAACAACATAAATTAGTGTCAACAACAACGAAACGCGTATATCTACAAATCAGCATTCCGGTACAGAAGTTTTGCTTTCGTATCAGCATTAAACGTGGTTTTTGAAAGGGACACAACTGATTTTACTGATTTTAGCCTTTCACGGTGATTTGGTGTCACAGATTCTGTTCTTGGGTCTTTGCACCGTGGATAGTATTGCCGACGTTTCGGAAGTACCTGCTATCTCTATCGTGAAAGTCGAAGTCAGTATGGTGGACCGCTTGATAACTTTCCCTGGCCCGGGCATCAGCCCCTCCCCTTCCTTCGACGGACCAGTTTCGGTTTCGCTTAAATTGCTGATGGTCCTCGCCTGCACAGTCATTCTTGTTTCCGAGCCCCGCAGAACTCATGACCACATTTTTCTGTCTCTTGACTCTGACTGAGTCATGGTGCCCTCTGGAGTCAGCAACTATATATACACGAGCACTCACCAACCCTACTCTTTTCGGCCCTAAAGAAGGATCCAAAACGTACGTCCGAAACGTCGGAAACTGCCCATATTGGCACGGTATAACGCTCGAGGAGCAGAATCAACATGAATGGAACAGGGGTGTTTGAGAAGAGCGCTGAGGGGAATATTTGCTCCTAAGGAATAAGTGACAGGAGGATGGAGAAAATTAAGTAATAAGCAGCTTCATAATTTTTATTCGCTGCCAAAAGTTATTACGGCGAATAGAACAAGAGTAAGGGCAAAACATGAAAGAGATAACAGCTTCATGCAGAGTTCTGGTTCGGAAACCTGAAGGGAGGAGAACTACTTTGGAGACCTAAGCGTAGATGGTAGTATACTATTAAAACGGATTTTAACAGAAATAGTGTGTGAGGTTGTGGACTGGATTCATCTGGTTCAGAATAGGGATCAGTGCTGGGCTCTTGTGAACACGGCAATGAACCATCAGTTTCCATAAAAGGTGGGTCATTTCTTGACTAACTGAGCGACTGACAGCTTCTGAAGGAAGCTGGAGTCGAGCTGAGATCCATATAAAGTAGAAGGTAATAGAAATGAATAAACAAATATCAGAATAATAGGGGAAAAAACGAAAATTATATAAAAAGGAAAAAAAAAATACGAGAAATATTTAAAAAATAAATAATAAAAGAAATAATAAAAAAGACAATTGAAAGATAAGAGAAAATGAAGAATGATAAACAGCGAGAAATTGCTGTCTTCTGGGATGTGATGCCGTGCAGTCTGGCAGACATTCATTGGTGTTTCGGCGGAATTTGATGAATCCATCTTAGACTCTTCTACCCTGAACCTGGAGCCAGCAGGTTACTCCAAAAGAAAAAGTTAAAATTATCCCTGTACTTAATTAAGCACGAAAAGCGGCCCCCGTAACGTTCCCACCTCATGCCTTAAGGTACGCGGGTTCAAACCCGGCGGAGGTCGTGGAAATTTTAAGGGCGGAAAAATTCAGGGAACAAGTCCTCCGGGAGGGACTTTGAGCCGTGGGTCCTGTGTCGTAGATTTACGGCACGTAAAAGATCCTCATGACTCTAGGAGACCTCTGAGCAAAATTAGGCAAGTTTCCCGCCCAAGTAGTTTCCAGTGCCTCTGGTAGATGGGGGAAGCATCAAGGTACCGAGGGCCGACCTCGTTGGCTCAACGGGGCTGATAGCAAGCACCAGTACCGCCAGGGTGTGGGGACTGGCAGAATATCAAAGGGGGACGTACAATGGATCAACAACTGGTCGCGGTGCATGGGGAAACCCACCCCATCCAATAATAATAATAATAATAATTAAGCACGAAGCGATGAAGACGCACTAGGGACCGGAGGTATAGTTCCACCATTCTTGACCTCGGTACTGTATGGAGGTGAGTTGTCGGCTTCACGTACCGGCTGCTCTCCCAGGGGGAAAGAGCTTCCGGTACCCGACGGATATGAGTCTGATTGGGTCCCAGAGCCGGTCTGGACGCTGTCGCCCAAGCAGGTTCCTCCAAAACATGTACTTATGTAAGCACATACTTCCCATGGGAATCATACCGAAGCTACCAGAAGCTGCGTGTTACAGCGTGGTGGTGGGGCGTGGAGGTATCCCCACCGCTTCCACTACTGTTATGCCCTTACGCCCTTACGACAGGGGTGGATTGGTTATCTCACCGCTGTCTCCATTGTTATGCCGCCGCTACACCATTGTTATGCTGCCACCATCTTGTATATCAAGAACTCTAATAAACTTATCATTGCTTACGTCACTGGTCCTGGCTTAACTCGCAATTCGCCGAAGCTTTGGGAGGTCCTGGAGTCGGCAGGGAAGAGGTAACACTTAAGGAAATGCTAGGTTGAATTAAACTCACACACATTCCTATCCTATTCTATTTCCCTATGTCGCTATATACATACTATATACACACTTTGCCGACGTTTGTCGGTTCGTATTACATTTGAAGATGACCCTGCAGCACCTCATTAGTCCTATCTCCTGTCCCCCTGCTGTCGGGCATTCTACGCCTCTGTATCTCTTAATGAACCTAGTCCATCTAATTAGCACTATCTTTCTCTGGGGTTTACACTTTAAAATTTATCACACTTATTGTTCACGGCTATATGTAGTTAGGTCACTTACTTGAGCTGAGGAAATAGACGCTCGCCATCACCAACCAACGCCCACTCATTGCCATCGCTCTCTCAGCGATAGCCTCCGGCTGAACTCTAAGTTACTTAATAATATTAAAAAGTCAAAAGTCAAAAGGTTTTTTGATTGATTCCTCTAGGATTTATGTATCCTCTTTTTGCTGATTATTTGTGTTCCTGGGTCTTATTGGCCCTCCCATTCTGACGTGATTGTGGGTCGGTGTGGCCCACTCATTGGCTGTCTATCGAGAAGGGGTTGACTCTTTCGGGTCTACCGCCTTCTCCGACTCAGCGTTTTCCTCCTGCCATAGTGTTTATGACCTACTTCATATAGCTTCTTCCTCAATGTCAGCGTTATTACGCTGTCGCGCTAACATTCTGATTACTCAGGTATTGCCTGTTACACTTCTTTGTAAACCCAAGCTTCCTGGTACGTTTCATCATTTCTGTTTCTTAATCTTACAGTCTAGATACTATTATTCCAAATTTACCCAAAAAAACTATTTCTACTTGTACATGACCTTTGCGCCATTACACTGCGCACTGGCACGGTTACTAACCGCATGGAATACAGGATGTCGCCCTCCTGTGTGATCCTCAGTAGTTTGTTGGGCACCGTGATGGTATGGACGTAAGAATTCTTGCCGTTGTAGAAATACGTATCAGGACGCCATATTCTCTCCAGCATCTTGATGCTGAGACTCAGATTCTTGATCGGACCCAGAAAACTGAGCCTTGAGTCTCGCCAGTACTGTCGGAAGTAGCAATCCATGGAATAGTCCTGTACACATACACACACAGATCAATATCACATATTAGGATTACTTTGTGATTCATCGGGGCGGTCCTGCTTTCAGTTCCAGGTCAGTTCATGTAGCATCTGTGGTGGACAAAGTGGAACTGGGGCAGATTTTTACCCAGTACTTCGGTATTCTCTGCCAGTTCTCATTCTAGCAACTGGTTGTTGGTACGAGTCACTCACGGTCTGAGTACCAAGGGACTCGCTATCAGCCCCATCCTACTAAGCATGGGTCACCAGAGAAGCCCTTTTAAAGCAATTTTCCTATTTTGAAAAAAAGTAAGAGATGGTCATGGTAGCCGAGCGGTCGAAGGCATGTACTGTCTTCGCCTGCTCGGAAGCCGGGATCGTGGGTTCGAATCCCACACAAGGCATGATTTTGGTACGTGTTATGTGTTTATTCTGTGTTGTTGTTTTGTCCTGTGTTTAGGTAGAGGCCTTGCGACGAGCTGGTCACTCATCCAAAGAGTCCTACCGTCTGTAAATGATTAAAATGAAAAAAAAAAAAACCCTCGACACCGTAAGGTATAAGAGGAACAGATTAAGTAAGCAAATAAGAGAAAATAAAAGGAGGCTTATGACATCACCTTGCTGTCTGCCTGTCTGTGTGTGTATCTCCCATAATTTTTCCCTCTTCTATGCATTCCGTGTCATATGAATGGAAAGTAGGTTATTAGTTTTTCCAAAAACTTTTCTTTCTGTTCTGGGGATTAGAATGAGTAGTGATTTCACGATAATCACCCTCGGGCGTGCTTCCGTTGGACGTCCCTCTACTCACCATGTCCAACTCTGATATGGGTCCCATGCTTCGTATCAGCATATTGGTCCTCACTATGGTGGGGCGTCCTGCGCAGTGAGAGAAACAGAATTAACATTTCAGGTGCGCTTGGGCGAACAGGCCTGGATGCTGAGTTGTACTATTTTTCTTTTATTGCTAGTGGGGTGGGACTAAGTCCCTTGTACTGCGGCCACTTCTGGCCTATTGTACCAACCCCAGATGATAGGTGAGGGTGATTGTGGAGCAATTGGTGGAATGAAGATTGGCTGGGGAAACCGAAGTACTCGGAGAAAACCTGCCCCAGCGCCACTTTGTCCACCACAAATCCCACTTGACCAGACCCGGAATCGAACCCGGGCCGCCGCGGCTGGAAGCCAGCGAGTAACCGCTTGAGCTATGGCGCGGTCCTCTGAGTTTTACTAAGTAAAAATGTAAAGCTATCCCTGTAACAGGCTGTGAAAATCCATAGTGTTGTGAGACGTTGAGGGTCCCACATAATCTAGACAATCGGCTCAAAGATGGCGGTAAGGTGGTCAGCCTTACGCGCCGGCCGCGCTTTACTTCCCAGGAAAATTATTTAATTAATACCTGGTACTCATTTCTGTTAGAGGCTGAGTCGACCCCAGGGCCATAGTGCGGCTGGAAGGATTAAGTCAACTGAAAAAAATCCAATGACCTCATCCGGACTTGAACCCGCGACCTTCCGGCTTGGAACATTGTGCCTCAACCAACTACTCTACCGCGTGCCCTGCTGAGTTGTACTGGATACGTGAAATATTTCTGGGAAAGTAGGCAAGGAAACGTTAGACACTATGAATGTTTACCGAAGACTGTAACGAAAAGAACATTTGTTTTAGCATGGATCTTGTGCATATAGGGGGTCGGTATTCCTCACACCGAACGTGTTAGTGCAGGGGCTGGACTCATATTTAGGATGCGCTCGGTTTGACTGTGGACCGCGACATCAGCTCTCTTGACTGAGGTTTTTCGTGATTTTCCTCGCTCCTCCCAGGGCAATTCCGGGGACAGAACTTCCGATAGTCAACGATCGCTTCATACAGAATTGGCGAAAGAGGCACTCATTCTGTATAATGACACATGTACGGAAAGAAACTGTTACCAAGTGCGACAGTCACACTGACAGTGAAGGGCAAAGGGAAGTGATCTGAATGAGCACTGTGCTTATGAAAGGTGAAAATTCACTTCTTGTTTCCTCTTCCCTTTCTTTCTTTCCTCTGTCTAAATTGTTCTCCTTATTTGCCACTCTTTCCATTCTTCTCACTCAATCGCTTTGTTTTGCCCTTCCTTTATTTTCTTCTATCTCTCTTCCTAATCATTTTCTTAANGGCGATACGTTCCTCCGAAACGTCGGTTAACACCACATATACACGGTGCCAAATCCCAGAAGACTGCTTTCTTCATTTTCTTAACATTTCACTTCTTTGTCATCTTTATCGTTTCTCTTTCTTCTACTTTCCTTATTTCATTAAAACCTGTGTCAGATCGTGTAAAGAATACATTTGGGATTTTGTGGGAGAGCTAGATGGACAGAGCCCACTAGGAAGACCTAGACATAGATGAGTGGATAAAATTATAATGGATCTTAGAGAAATGTGATGGGTTGGTATGAATTGGATTAATCTGGCTTAGGATAGGGACAAGTTGAGGGTTCTTTTGAACACGGTAATGGAAATTCGGGTTCCACAAAATATTGGTGAAGTCTTGAGTAGATGAGCGACTGAAAGGTTCTCAAGAAGGCCCACAATGTTACGAGTAGTTAGTTAGTTAGGTGGGAGGTAGTGAAATGGAATTGGCTCAGGATCCTGTCCAATGGCGTTCTTTGATGTTAGCGGTGTTGAAATTTCAGAGTGAACACATTCTGAAAGAACCGTTTAACATAACGCTTAAGCACACCTCCTTTAATTGTATGCCGACTCATAGAATTACCCGCCCGTTCCAAGACACCCGACCCGTAACTACAATGGGTGACATTCACAAAACAGGACGAAACAGGATTCCCGGAACCAGAGGTAACCCCGAGCAAGCAGTGCTCCTTTCCGGCCTGCATTCTGCATGGTTTAATCGGAAATTGAACTCTGGTCCACGGCATCGAAACTCAGTGGATTCTGTCTCGATGTGTGTCGCATTTCATCTGAGAATGATTGCTATAAAGAGGAAACGGTCCATAAAACTGGGTAGAACCAATCATATTTCTCCGGCTACAAATCTCAAGAGAGCAGATCCACATAAATGTGTACAGGCAGTAATAATGTTCTGGAACTCAATGCAATCGTTTAATATGACGAGGAGTTGCCAGATCTCACAGCGAGATGAGAAGTTACAGCGAGAATCAGTGGCGCCTTTTCCTCTACAGTGCGGCTGGTACGGGCCAGACTTAGGGCTAGCAAGACAGAACAACAAATTTTCACTTTTCTTATAAGATGTACGAAATAAAACGTTTTAGAAAAAAATCGCCTGCTTTGGTAACAAAATAGGGAGCAAGAAGTTTTTAACATGCAATCTTTCATAAAATTAATTAATTTCAGGATAGGTACCAGTGGAGGGCTCTTGTGAACACGGTAATGAACCTTCGGGTTCCATAAATTGCTGGCTAGTTCTTGAGTAGCTGTAGAAGGCGGCTTCTCCAGAAGGGCTCAGCTCCATGAGTAAGTAAATTATTTAAGCACTACGTCATAAAGAAGTGTGAGGGAGTGGAGTAGTAGCACTATAAAATGCTACTACAGGAAAATTTGATGTGTGCAATATAATCTACATACCAGACACATATCAACGAGGTAGATGTTGATAATACGAAGAAAATAACAATGTGTTTTTAAATGTTAAATTTTAGACTGGGTTCAGTGTGGCAGCAACGTTAAGAGTATACATCTGATGATGGCCGATAGAGGCCGAAACATGTAGTGTAGAAGAGAGCAAGATCAAAGACATATAATATATATTGTTTGCACTTGGGACGGAGTTTGTATCATTTATCGTGTAGAGTGCAACAGGATGCTGAGATATAATATCAGTATATAAAACTGCGATATGATGCAAAATTTCTGTGTCTCGAATTTTAATTAAATTAGCCATAAATAAAATATTTCTGTTTTGAAAATCTAACTAACTTCCTCACTCTGTAACCATCCAAGCGCTGAGACAGATATGAAGCCCCCCCCCTCGATCTTAAAGACGAGAATGTGATAATGTGCTGCCTGGTAAAGGCTATCGTACAACTCAGGGGGTAATGATGGAATGAAATCGGAGAAACTCGGAAGAGAAAGTGCTTAACTCTAGCTCCGTCAACCACGGATCTCACAGGAAGTCAGCCGGGACTGAACCGGAGGCTCCGTGACGAGCAGCCAACGCCTAAGTACTTGAACTATGGCAGGAAATCAAAGGGAATTACTTGGAATATAATTAATGTGATATGCGGGCCCATTGCCAAGTAACAGCTGTGTAAACAGGCGACAGTACAACAGCCGTTGCTAGAGAACAGCTGTGTGGACAAGTCATTTTCCCGTTAACGACAGAACATGGGAGATGCGGTTGTGAGAAGTGAGAAGCTGGTATCTGAGGCCTGGGACATTTCGGGAACCCATAGGAAGGGGAACGTCCGCCGTTGGAAGCTGCTACCAAGCAACGGCTATTGAAGACTGAGGAGACTTTATGTGTGCTGTAGTTACAGTGATCTTTAGAGCGAGAATGGCGTAATTATTTGTAGTTAAGAGTGTAAATGTTCAGTAGACCCGACAGCCAATCCAAACTCCGTCTATATTCACTCAATCACGTGACATTAATATTCAGTTTCGGTAACTTCAGTCTAGACAGCAGAAAATGGACAAAAATTCGGGTAAGATTGGAGGTCTCGGTTATCCCACTAAGTAAAAATGTCTGTCCCGTCTGTAGCAAATTGTATGGTAATGTAACAATTTACTTGACACCTATTATTGTACTTCAAATAGGATTACATGATCAGTAATTCAGAAAATCCAATTACATATCCAATTTGAAAAAAAAACAACAAATATTTATATTTCTGTGTCCTGGCAAGCGTATGAAATCCTGACAAACAGACAGGAATAGGGTATTGAATCATACTTTAAAATTAAAAATGTTGCAATGGAACTTCATGGTACATGCTCTTTTCCGTTCAGTTTTAATCCGTGAAATAAACACTTTCATCTGTTTTTACGTTTCCATGGAAGTTTATAATTTTAATTAAAAACACACAAATATTTATCAACATGCATCAAGAGATGGCAGCAGCGTCCATTTCGGAAAAATAATCATCAAATAGGTAAAGCGCATTTTCTGCAGTTGCTTTTGAGGCGTCCTGGCTGACCATTGATTCAACACTTCAAAGACTGAGTCAGAGTTACTTTTCGACTGGCGTCTTGGCGTCAAGTTCCTTGAAAATAACTTCCAGAGATTTATTTTTACAACTTAACCTTTACGGTCATAGCCATTATGTAACTTCCTTTCCGAATACTTCTAAATAATATATCGTCACGTGTATTAGTGACTATAGACCGGGTTTGGATTGGTTGATTGGATTTATTAACACCTTATACAATCAACTCGTACTTACAATTAATATAGGGCTATCGTTGTTCACCACAATTTACGGTTCACTGTTATACACGCACTAAAATTCTCAGTCTTCACTGGTCGTATCCTGGCGACGGAATTAAAACAGTCTCACTCTGACTAAATATTCTAATCACACACTAAGTCTTCATAGTCTCACTTCTAATTATTTTGCAACTACTAACTTCCCGTGGATATCTCCCACCGAAAACTGACTCAGTTCTCATTCTTGTACTCTCTTGTACTCCGTTGTATTCCCATTCTCTTGAATCTTGTTCTCTGACAACTTCTCAACTCCCGATTCCATTTCTCTAATAACTCCCAGGGTGTAAAGCGGCAGGGGAATGGAGCTCACTACTTACATACGCCTATTACTGAGTTTAAGAACACGTGGAGCTATACCTTCACCACATACGTCTCCATGGCGTGGTGACCTTCATATGTACAGATGCCTACTTCTACTATGACTGTGTCCGAACAGAATGGTGTAGACTGTGTAGCGCCGGCTGCCATGATGACTACTAAATGACGAATTGGAAAGGATCTGGATAGAAACTGTCGTAGGTAAGTGGAGTGTTATCCAGGCATCTACGTGTAGGGTCTGAGGAAAACTACGAAAAACCTGTCACGATATCTGGTTTTGCGGTCGAGATTCGAACCAGACACCTCATGAATACAGGTCTGGACCGTTACTGCCAGAAGAACCGGTTCGATCCCTTTCGATGTTACATTTACATAATAAACGTAAATATGATTTCACCAACCAAAATCCTCATCTATTCTGTTCCGACTTCACGGAAACTTCGCTCGCTTTGGACGACAAGACGTGAACTACCTGGCGTACGTTATTACAGATTTAAATGTTGTGAACATTTTCTGCGAAATTTGTTATTAAAATATGCATTGAAAAATAAATAAACTTTCAACCTCTCGCATATGACTATAAACCACAGCGTATTGTCGGTGTGAAACGTCACGAAAGAGTGATGTAGATCGTTATAAGTTATCCCTGTAACAGGCCGTGGAGGCCCATAGGGTTGTGAGACGTTGAGGCTCCCACATATCCTAGAAAATCGGCTCATAGGTTACAGTGTTATTGTCAGCCTTACTCGCCCGCCGCCCTTTACCCCCAAGAAGATTCCTGGTACTCATTTCTGTTAGAGGGTGAGTCGATCCCAGGACCATAGTGCGGCTGGAAGGATTAGGTTAATTGAAGAAATCCACCTCATCGGGACTCGAACCCGCTACCTTCCGGCTTGTAGTACAGTGCCTCAACCAAGTACGCTACTGCGTGTCTCCCAGATATAGATCACTATATCATTAGAACTATGGCATGGAAATGAATGTGGAGAAAACAAAAGTAATGAAAATTTCGAGACAACCAACCCCAGTCACAATAAAGATAGACCAAAAACAACTGGAGAATGTGAAAGGTTTTAAATATTTGGGTAGCTTGTTAACAGATGATGGAAGGTGTACGTGTGAAATTAAATCCAGGATTGCCATGGCAAAAGCTGCATTTAGCAAGAAGAAGAATCTTTTTAGCAGCAAATTGGACTTAAATTTGAGGAAGAAACTAGTGAAATGCTACATTTGGAGCATAGCTCTGTATGGGGCTGAAACATGGACACTTAGGGCAGTAGATCAGAAACATCTGGAAAGTTTTGAAATGTGGTGTTGGAGGAGGATGGAGAAGATCAGTTGGACCGATTATGTGAGAAATGAAGAAGTGTTAATTAGAGTCAGTGAGCAGAGGAATATCCTACACGAAATAAGAAAACGGAAGGCTAATTGGATTGGTCATGTTTTACGCAGAAACTGCCTTCTAAAAGAAGTTATCGAAGGAAAGATAGAGGGGCGGATAGAAGTGACAAGAAGACGAGGAAGAAGACGTAAGAAGATGCTGGATGACCTTGGGGACAGAAGAGGCTACTGTCATTTGAAGGAGAAAGCTCTAGATCGCATTAAATGGAGGAATTGTTTTGGAAGAGACTGTGGACATGTCGTCTTGACAGATTACTGATGATGATGATGATCATTAGAAATTTTCCAGATCAGTGGCTCCCAAAGAGGGCTGTACTCGTCGGGGGCGATGGGATTAACTAGAGAGGCGCTAAGAGGCAAGGGGTAGCAGGGGGTGGCCCCTCGGAGCGTGTTGTTCGCATTTATGATGAAGTGACTTTAGACCAGACATTGGGAAACATTTATCACTTCATCAAGCCTATTCATTGCGTCAAGAATTTACTAACAGCGAAGTAATTACTAAATGTGGTATCTTATTTTGTTGTTATTACACGTATCTTCCTTAGAGGGATGTGCAAACCTCTGTTCCGAAGAACGATTTTTATAGGGTAGGGCAGGGGTAACGGGGGATGAGTTTGTAGAACTAAAGGAGTGGTGGCCCGAAAAAGTTTGGAAACTGCCGTACTAGATTCTATTGGGCGTCTCCTGTTTCCCATGCGGTCCGTGCTGGTAGCCAGAGGACAGTTTTGTATATACACAAATCTTCCTAAAAATTATGTTCTCTCTCCAACCCTCCCCCCCCGCGCAATAAAATGTCTCTCATTTCTCCATGACTTTTCAGTTTCACCTACTCTTCTGCTATACTTTCTGCCTCTCTCTCCCTCTCTCTCTCATCATGAACGTGTTATTTGGTTGCATTACATCATGGCTGCCCATGACATCAATACAGCGGGACATGTCAGTACAATGTCCAATTGTGCCGCCGACTTCGCGGGTAACACAAAAAGACCCTCTAATGGACTCACGCAGTTCAGCCAAGTGACCTGCTGTGTTTTCGGTCGAGGAATTTCCCAATCATTTCTGCTGAATGCTCAATGACTTTCACATTTCATTCATGGCCACCTGTACATTCGATACTAATGGATTTATCCAGAAAAAAAAATTATACGGCTCTAAACAGCATTGACGAAACGCGAAATTCGCATTTACGGAATCAAGAACTCATTAAACGCTTAGGATATTCTGATAACAATACGCGCCTACAGCGTCCACATCAGAAAGCTTTATATTGTGTCCATATTTCGTACGATTATCACAGTAAGCAACTATTATTCCCTTACACAGCATGAACCGGAGGATATGTGACTTACTTCACAACGTTGTTAGTGAAAGGTAAAGCTATCCCTGTAACAGGGAGTGGAGGTCCACAGGATTGTTAGACGTCGAGGCTCCCACATTTTCTAGACAATCGGCTCACAGATGGCGGTAACGTTGTCAGCTTTACGCTCAGACTGCTCTTTACCATCAGGAAGATTCCTGGTACTCATTTCTGTTAGAGGCTGAGCCAGCCCCAGGGCCATAGTGCGGCTGGAAGGATTAGGTCAATTGAAAAATAAACTTATCGGGATTTGAACCCACGACCTTCCGGCTTGTAGTTGTTAATAGCGAGGCCATGTGTCGTCGGATGATCGACGAACTGGAAGGGATTTCGAAGGAAGTGGTCATGGCCCACTAACCTATAGGGAACGAGGAATTCCACGAAGGATAAATGCCCCGGTCGAAGTTCGAAGCGAGCACCTCCTCAATATGAGTTAAGGACATGGCCACCACGCCAGCCCTCTCGGTTGCAGATAAAATGCACTGGAGATATCCGAGGTAGAGAAGAAGACATTTTGAATGTTACCTTTGCCATGGGTCGGCAGCTGGCTGCTCTCATAATCTTTGAGAAGGTTTTCCAGGACCATGGTGATGTTTCGGCTCACTACGTCATTTCCTGTTGTGAGCGGAAACAGTCGCTTGCTGACGACGTGAGCGGGGTCACTCAGGCGCTGGGCCCAGTACTTCTGCGGTTGCTGAAAGCTCTCCGGAAGAGCCACCGTCTCTGGCGTCCTGTTTGTGAAACGTCTCAAAACTGACGTCCTGAGAGCGAGGGCGCTTTGCCCCATGTCCCTTGTTGTCGGAGAAATTATCAGGGAGTCGCAGACGGTCTTTGTAAATCTGCAAGAGAAGGGACTGCATAAGTTTACATGGAATAGGTTACTGTAGTGGTCTCGACTTGTATTCGGGGTGGGGGCGCTTGGTTAGGACCTCGGCACGGACACCACTTTCCTGTCTAGGGGTTCTCCATGTTTTCCCTCAGCATACCCGGGATATCTCAAATACACCACAACCGCTTCCTTCCAAATTCTGCTCCATTCATTAGTAAATCATCTCAACCATTCGACGCTGTACAGCTACGATACTGATAGAGTTGTAACGTAAGGGACATAAAACACCGTATAAACTTAAACTTAAACTCCGTGGCCTGTAGTCCGCAAGCGAACTATAACGGAAACGCAGTATAAATTTATTTATTCTTGTAAAGCTGCTAACAATTTTGCTTCGTAATCGGGTGATACCGTGTTTAAATATCGGCCATAAAACAATCTGTCATAACTGAAATACATGTATGTCGCGGCATTCCTCAGCCACCCCTCGGCCCTCGGTACCTAATATTTCCCCCATCTACCAGAGGCATTGGAAACTACTTGGGCGGGAAACTTGTTGCCTAATTTTGCTCAGAGTTCTCCTAGAGACATGAGGATATTTTACGTGCCGTAAATCTACGACACGGGACCCACGGCTTAAAGTCCCTCCCGGAGGACTTGTTCCCTGAATTTTTCCGCCCTTAAAAATTCCACGACCTCCGCCGGGTTTGAACCTGCGTACCTAGAGTCATGAGGTGGGAATGTTACCCCTAGACTACGGAGGCCGCTTTGCAAGGTCCATAGTAGGGCAGGCTTCACACAGCCCGGCGTCGGAAACTGTCTCTTTTTGTAACGTTTGCTACCATTCAGTCCAAAACCTTCAGCCCAAGAACGTAATGGTTAAAATACAAAGACCCAGCAATTTTGCCCATAGTTTTGTATGGTGTGAAGCTCGGTTTCTCGTACTGAGGTAAGAGCACAAACTAGGGGATAATTGAGAACAAGTTGCTGAGGAGAATATTTGGACCCAAGATGGTTGAAATAACAGGAGACTGGAGAAGAATGCATAGCGAAGAGCTTCATAATTTATAGTACTGCTAGCATTGTTATTACTAGAGTCACTAAGTCACGGAACAATGGGCAGAATATGTAGCACTCATGGGATAGGTAACAATCGTTAGGAATATCTGACGAAAACAATCACTGGGAAAACCTAAGATTAGATGGGGAGACAATATTAAAATCGACCTTAAAATCATAGGACGGGAGACAGCAAACGTGATTATGGATAGGGACCAGTTGCGGGCTATTTTGAATGAGGTAATGAATAATAGGGTTCTATAAAATCCTGGGATTTTTTGAGTATCTGAGCAATTATAAGTTTCTCAATGGCTCAGCTCAATGGACAGGAAAAATTTACAAATTGGGTGTACGAATAAGAAGGGGAAGCTTATAATAATAGATAAGTTATGTTTATTAGCGAGTAGCGCCGTCAGTTGTTAACAAAAATGGACCATGTAATAAACTGGGAATCATTACGGGAAGGGTGCCAATTAATGTAATATTCTTCAGTGGACTGAGCGTTTGTTTACCTGATCAACGTTCTGGAGCATGAGGCAAATGTAAGCTGATTGCAACGTAATGAGGCAGAGGCCGATGGAGATAATCTCTAAACAAAATGGAGATTATTCTATTCCCGTTCTCTATGTAGTACGATAACATCAGAATTGTGTTACGCGATGCTGGTTGCAAGTAGTACAAATTCTGTCAGTAGATGTCTCTGCGAAAAATAGCATCTGGGACAGAGGAGAAAGCTACTTTGAAAGGTACTAGAGGAATGGCTCGTCTTCGTGGTTCCGCGAGATAAAACTGAACCGCCGTGCCTTCGTGTCAATAAACCGCATGAGAGCAGGTCACACCAGTCTTAAAGAAAGCTTAAGTAGATTTAACATTGTGTCCAAGGCCGAATGCGAATGTGGTGATGGGCTGCAAACGGAGGAACATACTATCTTCTGGGACTGTAAACTGTACGAGGACCAACGGGCAACAGTGAAGGACATTTTGTCTGAGAACTGCAAAAAAGAATACCCAAAGTCAGTCTCTTAAGGCTAGAAGAAAAAAGATTTTTTCAAGGCGTCTGTTACTTCATAAATAAAATTCCTAGATTTATTTAAGAATTGAAAAAATAGATATGCAAGAAAGGAAAAAGAAACAGATGTACAAAATATTAACAGTATACTCTCAGATTTAAGTTAAGATATATACTAAGAATCGTGGGAAGACCGCTGCAATAGAACAAGATGTTTATGAGACTGCTACAGAGGGCTGGATGGGCATTGCCTAGGCCTTTTTGTATTTAAAATTATTTTTCACACTAAGAAAAAACAAACGGTGGGGGCGAACATAATCTCCTGTGATGTGACTTTGCTACAGGTTTACCGACGTTTCGGAGGAACGTAGATTTTCAGAATTGCAGAACAGACTGAACGCTCAAATAACTAAACAGCAAGCAAAAGGTCCTAAGTAACTAAGTATGCCAGACAAGTGACTACTGAAAAAGTAAGTAACAATGGAACTAATCATTACACAGGCAACCTAACATATCTGCCGAACGTTTGGTAGTCGTGCTTCGTGTTCGGGAGGTCCCAGATTCAAATCTCGGACACAAAATCAGATGATCTCCAGGTAAATGAGGGAATAATTCCTCAAATCAGGTCACGGCCTCTTCCTTCCACCATTATTCACTGAATCTTCTACCGCTGGTGTTACCGGCAGCATAAGTAACTTGACAGTTCTCACGGCGATGGCCGTCTCCTTCGTTGTGACGCCGTGCAGTTGAGTAGAATTTCAGAGACGTTTCAGATAAACGTACTGCCTCTATCTTCAACTTGGAAGAATTAGGCGAGCAAGTAGCCAGCAAACACTGAGCTGTTTAGTTGAATAAAGACGATCTTTACAGGGGCAAGGGACGAGCCTCTGGAATGGCCCAAATTGTGGTGAGATTCTCAAGTTTCATGACAGAAGATCGACCGCCTCTGTGGTCTAGTGGTCAGAGTTCCTGGCTACAGATACAGACGTCCCGGGTTCGATTCCCGGCGCTACCAGATTTTCTGAGAAGTAGTGGGTCTGAAACGGGGTCTACTCAGCCTCGTGAGGATAATTGAGGAGCTATTTCAAGGAAATAGAAAACCAAAATTAACTTTCTTGGGGATTCGTTGCGCTGACCATGCGATACCCTTTATCCGCTAAAGTTGGCACTAACTTCGCCGATAAGCGGCGGTCGCTCGGTCGGTATAGTTCGCTTGCGGACTAAAACCAGTGCTTGTTTTTTGTTTTATTTTTTATGAGAGAAGATTAAGGAGTCGGGATAGCTCAGTCCAGCTACGGGCTGGAGGATGGAGGAGTCGGAGTTCGAGTTCTGTTGAGGCAAGAATTTTCACTTCGCCATGTCGTCCAAACCAGCTCTGCGGTCCATCCAACCTCCTAAACAATGGGTACCGGGGGCGCTTTCCTCGGGGTTAAAGCGACCCACTTATCTCCAACTAGTACCGAGGTCAAGAAAATGCGGATCTATATCTCCACTCCCCACACGCCTTCATGGCATAGTGCTTAAATAATTAAGGGAAGGGAAATTTTTACCTTTACCTTTTACCACGAGAGAAGATTAAAGTCATACTTCAACACTGCGCCCGGGCTACGATACACGCTCATTAAACAGGGACATACCGAGGCTTGCATTCCATATCGAGGATGCAGATGAAATGTCCGGCCAAACGAACATGCTCTTATGAGCAAATTCATCAACAAAACAGAAATGTTTGGCGGCGGTTTCGATGAGAGAGGAGCGTCTCACCAAGTATGTCCATACCTTGCTCCATAGTGCAGTGTACTTGCTTCAATACCAGAGACCACACGAGGCTGGCCGAGTGGAGCGCCTATACTGAGAAGTCTGTAAGATGTAGAGAGTGATTTATGAGAGCCGAAAGCGAGGAATTAGAAGCAAAAGGCAAAGAATAGAGAAAGCATTTGTCGAAAAGGAGACCACAGTTCTTAAAGTAAGATTGTCAGGGATTATTATTTTCCATATCGCGAATTTTGCCAGGGTAACACTACGTTTGCTGAATAATGGTTTGAAAGCGACATGGAAGGAAGGGGTCCTGACCATAGCGCGCATGCACGCACACAGACACACACTCTATGAAGCTTTTCATTATGATCCTTCTCTGTTCTATATACACGTATATCTTCATCAGCCTTCTTTCCTTATTTTGAAGAAATGAAAGTGGGCTTATGCGATCTCAATACTGTCTGTGTGTCTGTGCATCACTCCCATCAACTTTTGAATTCCTGTACCAATCTTTATGAAACTTGGTATATGCATCATGACATTTCAGCCCATTACAACGGCGTGTTTCGTAAACCCCTCCAATCATTCTATGTGTCTACATGTGTATCTCCATTTCGTTGCCAAGTAATGGCAACGAATATTCGCACAACAAAAGAATTGTTGGAGACATGGTTTTCTATGTGGTCCGCAACGTATGAAAGGAAAGTAGGTGATTAGTTCTTCCCATAGCTTGTTTATGTATTTATTTATGATTAATTTAGCGGAGATGCCAATGACTCAAACTGTATTCCTATAGCGTCGAACGGTGTGGTGATTATGAAAAGTAAGTTGTGAAGGGTAAGGAAGAGTTTCATGGAGGTAGGCCTAGGCCCAAATTGGGGCTGTAAGAAAAGAGGCGTGGTCTCAATTAAGGAGTTTGCCACGAGAAATCTCTGAGGATTTTCAATCTGTGGGCCGCAACTTTACGCCGAAACCTGGCTTGCATGTAGGCGGGAATGTTGATGCTTCGATCGAGAGATTCGCTGAATTGTGACTCAACAAGAGTATGGTAGGGGAAGACAGCCGTTTTCAGGCATGGTCACGGTGTTTTCATGGAAATGATGAAGACACTCATGGGATAGCTCGAGACCGAGGACTGAACCAGGACCTCCGAAAGACGAAGTTGAACACATCGACTTTGGCAT